AAGAAGATTTACATACTAACGCGATATTTTTTTGGGTTTGGTGAATTCAAATTAGTTTGAGAGAACTCATAATCCCATAATCTCAGACGTATTCGATTTATATTAAAAACTCTTACATTCAATCTAAATGTTATGCATATTAAATTTTATAAGATAAAATATCTATTTGAGAAATATACCATTTTAATCTTTGTTGTTTTTAATTTCTTCTGTATATAATTAATTTTTTATTTTAAAATATTTTAATCCCGCATTGGATGCGGGTCAAAAATCTAGTTTGAAAATCCTCTATATATTAACTGAGAAGACACTAAGGTGAAAAATTCTATATGTCATTCAATGAGGGTTTAAGGAACATTCCACTTAAAATAACCAATGAGAACATTTCAATTAAAACTATATGCCATGGTGAAAATCTCTACATATTCTTATGAATTTTATAACATAAGCCCATTAATACATGTTTTACAAATCTAAGTCCAACTAAATTCAACATTTAGACTTACAATATCATCTATTTTTAATTTTTTTATATATTAAAAATTTTATTATCATATTTGTAACAATATTATTTATTGTAAATATATGTATTTAGATGAATATGATATCTACAAATATTTTAATTATGATAGTATATTATATATATATATAACTACACTTATAAATATTTACACATTTTATTAATGCAAAACATATACTGTTTTTTAATTGTTATGTATGACAAATTCATATAGCTCAAAAATTTATCTGATGTATCGCATAATCTATAATTTACGCGAATAATAAAAATTAATTTTACACTTAAAATATATTGAATAAATAACATATTTCATATGTTTTGATCAATTTTAGTAGATAAAAAAAATTAATAGCATGAAAATATGCTTGATCAAAATTTATTTTTTATTACATTTATCCACAATGCATACCCTTTTGTAATTTTATAAATATTAGAAATTATATGTTTTAATCATACATATTAAAATATTAAAATTGATTAAAACATATTTAATCATTTAATCTCACGTTTGGCGTCAGTCAAAATGTAGTATGATAATTCATTATCAAATAAACCAAAAATATAATTTTGTTAGTATTTTTCCAATTTGGTCACTGGAGGATTTTTCTCAATGAAAAAATGTCACATCTCTCTAGCAGCCTGTTTTATGAAAAAAAAAGAAATGGTAACCACCAAATATAGAAATTTATAACTGAAAAAACGAAATGATGATGATAACCCAATGGTTTCGCCATATTTAAATTCACAATGTTGGTCCAAGTTTAGGGATCGTAGCCCGTCATACATACGAAAACTGATCTCACCATTTGACACTCGATTTATTATTCGTTGGTTTAAAAAAAATAAAAAATAAAACCAAATTTTATGGACACTAAAAATCGTTTAGGTTTCGCGCGACCAAGAACAACTCTAATAAGATATTTTTCAATAAATATATCATGTCATTTTTTCTAAAAACTTTTCAACTATGTCACTAAAATTATACTATTTTCTCAAAATATCATATATGTTTGAGTTAACTATTCTATATTTAGGTTTTTAGGGTCTAGGGCATGTTAGAAGCCCAAACTTTCTTTAAAGTTCAAAATTTTTATAGTTAAATTTTTTTAATGAATAACATTTTTGAAAATAGACAATTCATGATGACTTTTTTTTATGAACCGTGAAAGTTCTAAACTTTTGACTCATAATCTCCTTCGTAATCGGAGCCAGTTTTTAGATATTTCGATTTAAATAATAATCCTTCATACAAAAAAGAGTTTGAACCCGAGGCACAAAAGAACCAACCCTCTTGTGTTATCACTAGGCCACCACA